GAGACCCCCAGGCAACCTCCTGGGAGAGCCCCGGACCCCTGGGCAAGCTCCCCAGCCAGCCCTGGACCCCCACATGGCCCCATCAGCAAGCCCCAGAGCCCCACATTGTCCCTCTGGCGAGCCCCAGACCCCCACATGGCCTCCCAGGAGAGCCCCAGACCACGGGCAGCCTCCCCATTGACCCCCAGAGACCCACATGGCTTTGCCAGTTAGCCCCAGACCCCCACACTGTCACTCCAGCTAGCCTGAGACCCCCAGGCAACCTCCTTGGAGAGATCCGGACCCCTGGGCAAGCTCCCCAGCCAGCCCTGGACCCCCACATGGCCCCATCAGCAAGCCCCAGACCCCCACATTGTCCCTCTGGCGAGCCCCAGACCCCTACATGGCCTCCCAGGAGAGCCCCGGACCCCCGGGCAGCCCCACCACTGACCCCAGCCTCCTTGGGCTGCCCACCAAAACCCCTCTGAGGCCGGGGGGCCGGCTCGCCTAAGAGTAATTACTGGCCAGGCCCTCCCTGCTTTGCTTTTCAAATCAGCCGGGGAATTAAAAAACAACAATAATAAAAAAAAAAAAGAAGGGGCGGCTCAGCGCCGGCAGGCCTGGTGGTAATAAACGTGGGGTGACTCAACCGCTGCCACTGCACAGGTACTAATTAGGCTCGCCCCACCCGCTGAGCCACCCCGGCCAACCTCGGCATGGCCGTGGTGGGGGATGCCACGTACCCCCCCCCCAGCCCGCTGTATTCAGGAACGGCTCCTGAAATCCCCACAGTGGTGTTTCACGCCACTCTCCCTCCGCCCTTGACTCGCTAACTGAGCTGCTCACTCCTGAACTGAGTTGTGCCCATTCTCAGCTGCGCCCAGGCACTCAGGCTCTGCCCCTGCTCGTGGGCACGGGGCATTTTGCCCGTCGGCTCCGGCACAGCGCATCAGCCAGAGAAGCCAGTGCTGGCTTTGGCCGTTTGAAGGCGAGCATGTCGACGCGGCCTCGGCTCTGCAGCGAGCCATGGCTCAGCGCTTGGCGTCACCGCTCCAAACCCGCCTGGCAGAAGCGTTACGGACTTTGCCGGCCGGTGAGCTGGCCGGGGCTTACGACACCCAGTGATGACAACGCCAGGACAGCTTTTGTGCTTCATTAGGAGGGTGAAAAGGGCGGCTGTCCCTGAGGAATGTGCCGCTGTCAGCAGGAGCAGCGGCTGATGCCGGAGGCGGGGGGGCGGGGCAGGGCAAGAGCTGCGGGCGAGTGTTTTGGGGTGACGGTCCCTACTTTGATGGCCTCCTCAAACCCCAGTGGGCTGCAAACCCCAGTGCCACCATCGCATCGTGCCCGGGGACTGATGCAGGGGGAAACCCACCTCCTCAGCTCAGGGACTTCATGGGTTTACTGGGAGCCCCCCCTTTGCTTGGGGGTCACACTTGACCCTTTTGGGGTACAGCACCCAGGGATAACCCCAAGGGCCCCCCCTCTTCTCCCATCTTGGCACCACCCACACGGGGAGTGTTGGTGGGTGCACCGGGTTTGGCAGAGCTCAGTGGGGCGCTCCCAACCCTCCGAGCCCGGCTGAATCATGGGTTCTCCCCCGGGAGCAGGCGGGGAGGGTGGTTCGCTCCCTATGCAAGCTGATGCTTGCCTGCCGTCCCCGTGCCAGGCTCTGAGGGGCTCAGGGATGGCCCCGGGACAGAGGGGCTCCCAGGGATGGCCCTGAGCCCGCTGGCAGCCCCATTCCCCCAGACTCTGCCTCCCTTCCAAGCCCCCGTCCTCCCCGGTACGACACTGCCCTGCAGCTTAAAGACGGAAACTGGGGAGTCATGGGGGGGGCTGGGGGGGTTTAAGGCAGGTTTGAAGCCAAAACCAGCAGCGCTCGCCTCAAAGTGGCTCGTTAATAGGGGAAAGTGTTGGATGGGAGCGGGGATGCACTGGCATGCTTAAAAAGCAGCAAATCAGCACAAAATAACCCCACATTTGGAGCAAAATTGGGGGATTCCCGAGGGGATCTGGCCATGGTCAGGGTGACGCAGGGTTAAATAAACTCGGTCTGGGGGTCCCTAAAGCAGTCACTGACACACACACACACAGAGCCTGGAGGCACCCATATCCCTTCCTCTGTGGGGTGACAGAGCCACGTCCCGAGGGAGACCCCAGCTCCTGGGTGCGCGTCCCTAAAGCACACTGACACACACACACACACACACAGAGCCTGGAGGCACCCATATCCCTTCCTCTGTGGGGTGACAGAGCCACGTCCCGAGGGAGACCCCAGCTCCTGGGTGCGCGTTGTCCTCTCCCACCCCCTGAGCACCACTGAGTGCCTGTCCCCAAAACCAGGTCCCCAGGGAAGCCTGTGGCTGCCAGTGCGGTGCCATCGGCGTTTCAAGCGGGGAGTGGCTGACGCAGCACCATGCAGCCTGGCCACAGCGCACATGTGCCAAGAGCCACGCTGGGGAAACTGAGGCACGAGGAGAGGAGGAAAAAAAGCCTCTTGGCCAAAGCTGGCCAGGAGCAGGCAGCTGCTGGATCCGGCATCTGCACTGTCCCTTTCCACCTGCTGCATGGGGACTGGTGGCAGGGCGGGTGCCACCGGCTTTCCCCGGGGACCCGCGCTGGGGACAGCCATGCAGATGGGTGCGGGACCAGCTGGCACATACCTTATTGGGTGGCCCCAGAGGGCCGTTGCCCTGCAGCATCCTCCCAGGCAGGCGGGTGCACCCGTGGGTGCTACACGGGCGCCAGGCACCCCAGCACGGGGTGGGCGATGCTGTCTGCGGCGGGGCCGGTGGGGCAGGGGGGGGGCGCGGGCGCGGGGCCCCCCCGGGGGGG